TAAATTTAACCCAATATTTGGCAGCATACTGGCAATCAAAATAATTTAACCTTTTAAACTCCCAAATATATAATATAATAACTTAATTTAAAAGGGAGAGGTACTAGGTTGGTAAATAATTATTTGAAAAAAATGTATGAAGCCTTTGGGATCTCAGCCTTCAGATTCCCTCAAGATCTTGCTAATTAACTATGTTCACAGCTGGGAAGGCAACAGGATTGGTGTTTAGAAAGTATTTTTAAAGAATAAAGACTCTAATTATGGTTTTAGTTTCTGATCTTTTTTTTCCATTTGAACTAAAATAAAATAAATTACTAGTGGTTTCAAATAAATTTAAAAAGGTTTGAGGCAATAATTAATAAAGTCACAGATTCAGTAAAATCATGAAATTATTCAAACCATAGAAAAATGAGAGGAACTACAGAGATCCAGAAGACAGGCAAGATTTACTCTGTTTTCTCTGAGCTGCAGTAAGGTGCCCCATACCCGGGAGGAGGAAGAAAGTGTGACACTCTGCTAAAGCGGGGCAGATTTTTTTTTTAAAGGACACGAGCCCTCCACTGAGCCTAGGAGGAACTCAACGGCTAAGAGCTATCTAAAATGTGGGTTTGCAAGACTCATTCATTAAAAATAATTAATAGAATGGGGGTGGGGAAAAGACAGGAAAAAGATAGTCTAAAGAAAACTACTATAATTGAGCATAAAATACTATATACGCAAAGTTCAGCAGGAAAAACTGAATTAGTTCTCAATTCTAGCAAGAGGGAAAGAAGAAAAAAGGCATTTCTTCGATTTTGAGAGGAATTTATCAAATGGGTCTTTATATAAAGCACATTGAACAACATAGTAGACATTGTTTTTAACCACTGTTTCAATGAAAGATATAAAAGAATTTTCTCTATTTGGTATTATTTTTCTCATATAGACCCTGACAAAAACTAGATACAATGAAAGTTACAAATGCCTGTAAATCAGGTTGAATGAGTCAGAAATAATCTTTGCCAAAGACAGTTTGCTATATTGTTAAAGTATCAAACTAGAAGGTATATTCTCTATTCAGATATTTACATTTGTCCATTGATTGGAGAAGACAGCAGAGGGAAGATTTTCTCTTTCTTCTTCTTCTTTTTTTTTCAATTCAATGTGGCAGTTAGCAGATAGTTGAACAACAGAAATCCTTCATATAACTCTCCAACTGACTGAACTGGCTTAATACATAAATGAGAATTTCAGCAACTTGTTCATCTGTTTTCCAACCACAAGGAGTTCTTCCCACCATAGTCATTGGTGGTTTTCTCTGGGTACAAACTAAAGAAGACTGTCCTCTGGGATTGCTTGAGGTTTTTGTTTTGTTTTGTTTTGGTTTTTTAGCATGTACCTCATTTCCAAATAAAAGCAAGAAAAAAACAGTTCAATATATTCTTTGGCATTGCTCATAATAGTGACTTACTTATTATACAAGCACTCTAATTACTTCCTTATTTTTGACACTAAAAAATGAATTTCATTGGTGTAACTTTTCACATTTTAAAATAAACTCTGTGTTCTATTTTGTTACATGAAAAATAATGAAACATAATAAAGAAACCATATTACCATCTCTAAGACTTTAACAGTCACATGTTAGGAATGTCTTATAACTGCAAGATAAGTCACAAATTAAATTTGGTAAAGAAATAATCTTTGCAAAAAGAAGTCCATAACATCAGTATCATATTTATCTTACTAGAAAAATTAGTAAGCTCATCTGCTCATGTGAAAAAGAAAGAACTCTCCAATAATAAAATAGATTGTTTTCTGGGTGAGGACTTTCTTGAGAAACTTTACATAGTTTAAATTACTGCTTAGATTTAACACTTTCCACCTGTCTTCAGAAATACTTTTATTTCCTTTAAGGTACTAAATATGATATACTAGTCATGAGGCAGAATACCCTAATAGCTTCCTTTGCATTCTATGAATACTTGTAAACACTGTTTTTAGTAATTTTTATATCAATCTTGATTGGTTAGTGTCTTAGAAATATCTTCATTAATGATATTTATAATACATAATTTACATTTGCTTGGTTTTTTGAAATCCAGTCCTTAAAATTATAATTTTAGTTGATGAGTCAGATGACATCCATCCTTTTCCATTATTATATATTACTAAATACATGTTATAACATTACAACCAATTACGTTCGAATGATAATTTCCGTAATCACGTGTCAAACTAAGTTTCAATACTTAGAAAAAGGAACTTCTGCTTTATAAGAAAGAATTTGATATTTGAGAACTTCAGGTACATTTGAATGTTAGATAAATCAGTTTTTAAGTTCTATATACCTCTTGTCAAAAGAAAGGTTTAAGAGGGAACATTTTACTTAAAGTAACAATACTGATTTTACAGAAGAGGAAACTAAAGTTCAGATGAGACATTTAGTAAGAAGAAATGGAGGGATTCAAACCAACCCACTTCAGGTCCAAAGCACATACAAGGCTGGCAATGTTTGTCATGCTTTATTGCCCACTTACTCACTTAACAAAAATTGCTAATTCTACTAAGTTCAGGGGTAGAGCTGAAAGATACAGAGTTGCGACCCTCAAGAAAAAAAAAAACCAGTAGATAGAAAAGAAAGTCAGTTACTACACCGTCAATACGATTTAGATTGTGAAAATGCCCAGGGGATTTTGAGGGCATTCAACTTGCTGTAGGGACCTGAGTGGAAGAAACAGGAAAGAGATGACAGAGACGCAGGCAAAGGAGTCAGATTACAAAAATCCTTGAATATCATGCTAAAGAGTTTGAATTTTATCATGGGGGAAATGAGGAGCCATTCAGTTATTTTAGTCAGGAGAATGACATAATTAGATACATCTTTTTGAAAATCCACTCTCTTTTGACAGTTTTCAAGGGTAAATATGCAGTAGTAGTCCAGGAAAGAAACAAGAAGAACCTAGCTAAAAAAAGTGGCAATGAGGATTGAAAGGACAAAAGAGACTCGACAGATAATTAAGGGGTACAATTTCTAATGCTCAAAAAGGGAAAGGAAGGGGAAACAATCCTGAATATCTCTGAGGTGTTTGGTTTAGACAACTGAAAGAATGATGTTGCACCCTACGACGTTAGAAAACATGGGAGCCTGGGATGTTAGGCTGGGGAGTGGGTCGGTGGAAGTAGTTGTTTTCCACACAAGGCGAGCTACTTAATAGTTGAAAATATGAGTAATAATCTTAGGAAAAGAAATCTAGGCTACAGATATTAACTTGGAAATTCTTCAGTTACATGTGACTAAGAGAATATACAGAATAAAAAAAAAATAGAACCCAGAATAAAACCTTAGCAAGTACCAACATTTTAGTGGATGGAATGGATCACTGTAGTTAGTTGAACAGATTAAGAAGGAAATAATTGAAGAAAGAAAATGTATTAGATTTAGTTCATGGAAATAAAATGTTGAACCAATGAATTCATGGGGGACATGGAGAGAAATATCTGAGATAAGGAGGATAAGGCTGCAGAGTGTTTACATTCTTGTAACTGCAGGAGTGAGATGAGCCAAAAACACAGCTGGAATGAAACACTGAGGAGCAGAAGGCCCAGCTGAAATTGAACTGTAAAGGCAGAATTATAGCACTCCACCCCCACATGAATAATATTTTAATTAAAAAATAGGTGCATGGAAATGAAATGAATAATACTTACTGGCTGCATAGAACATGATCTAACTGGCTCTTCTGGGAGGGTAAGAAAGGATTGGTTCAGGATGAATTTGTGCAGTGAGCAAAGGACAAGATAGTGAGGAGATTGACTTGGGCTATACATAAAATGAACTATATTAAGCCTGAAAGCCTGAGAATTTTTTTTTTTTTTTTTTTTTTTTTTTTTTTGAGATGGAGTCTCGCTCTGTTGTTGCCCAGGCTAGAGTGCAGTGGCAAAATCTCGGCTCACTGCAAGTTTGAGAAATTCTTATGTAGAGGAGACCTTCTTATCTCCAGCTGATGTATTTAGAGTCTGTGTACATACCTAGGTGCTGTGTATCCATATCATATCCCTATCACTTCACCTACCTATAGCCATCAATACAGGACTACAAGACTGTGGAATTATTCCCAAGTGAACTGGTTGCTGCTACTGGCAACTCTATTAGCTTACAGCTTTTCTTGATTTCCTTGCTCCATATCCTAAGAGGATCAAGTGCATTCAAAGCAATTAGGATTGGAAAGGGATCCAATACTGCAAGTCTTCTTAGTGCTCTTTCCATTCCATTCTAACTCTCATTTCTAATATTGTATCCACATAGTAGCCAGAGTAATCTTTTAAAACTTTAGTTAGATGCTGTCGTTCCTCTACTTCAAATATTCAATGGCTTTTTAAATGGATTAAGCACTATAATGAAACTCTATTATGACACCACACACCCTGCATGAGACTGCTGTCTACCTCAAACTTCATCTCATGCCACCTCCCCACTCCCAGATCTTTTGAACATGCTATTCCCTCAGGCTCAAAGGTTCTTCCTTTCCTTTCCCTCCCTCCCTCCCTCCCTCCTTTCCTTCCCTTCCTTCCTTTCCTTTTCTTTTCCTTCCCTCCTTCCTTCCTT